GGGGCGGGCCCCAGCCATTTAAATTTAAATGAAGCCGCGATTATTTTAATCGCGGCTTCATTTCCCTTTTCCGATCTGGCTAATCTACATGCCTCCGTCGAAGGAGGCATGTAGTCTAGACACACCCCCAGACAGTCTCCTAGGATAGGGTTGTTTTAACTAACTGTGCTTGTGTACCTAAAATTCGCAGGGTGTGCCAACTGAACCATAACAGCACTTTGATTGGATAAAGAGGGAGCACATGGCTCTCACAGTCATTGCATGAAGTCAGCATGCACCTCCACTTCATATGTCTTTGCTTTACATGCATGTCACGTTAGTAACGCCGGTAATAAAAAACAATATGGACAGAAACCAGAATCTGGTAACCCTGCACATGGGCAATAGTAAAGAAAAATGTCTCGTGGGTCACACATTGAACCATGATGGGCCACATGTGGCCCGCAGGTTGCTCACCACTGGTACATATACTGTAGATAATACGTTAATGTTAGTGAATACTAACTATACATCCTTTGATTACACTTTTTATCCATAATGTTCTATTCTCTTGCATACACATATACTATCTATGGTACAGGATGTCATACATTACCCCTGAAAATTGAGTATATCAAGGAAAGCTAAACAAGAAAATAAAAAAAAAGAATTAATATGTTGTATGATATTTGAAAATGTTTTCAACACATAGGTAGGGACAGATTTACACATTACCATCCAGATATTTTCCAGCTATTACTTCCTCCTGATGGGTATAAACAACAAATACATGTAATAACACATTTTTAGATTTTATTACAGAAGTCTGGAATATAGATAAAATAAAAATACTGACCGCAGCTTTTTGTAATAATGGAGGCAAATCTGTAAGAGATTATCCCATTATTAAAACCTGATTGACCAGCCTTTTAAAATAAAAAAGTCTAAACATAAAATATATTCATCATAAATAAGCTAATGTAAAGTAGGGATGTGAATGGTTAATTGGTTACATTTTCTGTGGTGGGCCCAGTCTGGCTGGAGCTGCATGGTGCAAACAGAGACAGGTAATAATGGAGGCAAATCTGTAAGAGATTATCCCATTATTAAAACCTGATTGACCAGCCTTTTAAAATAAAAAAGTCTAAACATAAAATATATTCATCATAAATAAGCTAATGTAAAGTAGGGATGTGAATGGTTAATTGGTTACATTTTCTGTGGTGGGCCCAGTCTGGCTGGAGCTGCATGGTGCAAACAGAGACAGTCCAGCCTCGCTGCAGCAGGCCCAGCCCAGTCGTGGGCAGGAA